ATCTACTGCTGGAAACCGAGTTAGTCCATTAACATTTTGCAGAAATACAACCCGCATCTTAAGGTCCAACTTAATCTCATTAGATACTCTAATCAAATGAAAAGATCTATCAACACCTTGTAGTGCCCAGTAAATTCTCCTACAAAATGCCCTACCAGCCGGTAGTGCTTTTACAACAAAGGCAAGTGAACCAACAAGCGATTCTAATTCTTTTTTTGTTACTTTTTAACTACACTGAACATACTTTATCTTTTCCAGCAATTCATCCACTTTTTCTTTTGGAACAAAAATTGTCTCTTGAACAGAATCTATTCCTAACCCTAAAAATGTTAATTTTGTACAAGGACCTTGTGTTTTTTCTGGTGAAATTGGAACTCCTAAAAATTGACTCAGTTCTTGAAAATGATACATTAATTATCTGCATTCACTAGAATTCGCTGATCCAGCGAAAAAGAAATCATCTAAGTGATGAACAATACCATCCTTTTGTGACCTCTGTTCTAATTCCCAATGTAAAAATGATGAAAATTTTTCAAGCAATGAACAAGATACTGAACGCCCCATTGGCAAACACTTGTCAATATAATATGAATTATTAAACTTAAAACCTAGCTGACAAAATTCCTGAGGATTGATTGGTAAAAACCTAAATGCACTAGAAATGTCCATCTTTGCCATAAGGGCCCCTTTTCCTTTGGTATGAATTATGTTAATTGCACCATCAAATGAAGCATAGCTGACAGTACAATCTTGCTGATCTATGTAATCGTTACACTATCACCATAAGGATGTGAAAGAATGGTTATCATACGCCATCCACCTTGTTTTTAGGTAATAAACCTATTGGGCTACATCTTAAATTTGATATTGGGGGCTGAAAAAGGACCCAAAACCCTACCTAATCCAATTTTCTTCTTAATCTTTTCTTCTAGATCGCTAGAGTGTTGAATTGCAGACTTCATGTTTTTATATTCAACCCTTACTCTAGGGCCCTGATAATTTAACAAAAACCCTTTCTCAAAACCCTGCCCTAATATGTTGGCAACTTTTCTGTCAGGATAATTTATTAATAATTTGTGAAGATTGTTGGTTTTAATTGGAGAATGGCCTAAATCCCATAACTTATTGTGTAGGTCGAATTGCTCGCTGTGGGAATCTTGGGCGGAACTGCTGCTGTGTGGGCCTAGACTGGGGGAATTGCTTGACATTGTTATTCTGGGAAGATCTGCAATGTGAAGAAGGATGTGATCCATTACATTTCACACAAATATGCAAAACTTACAATTGTGTTTTTCGCAAACACCCTGAAAATTGTAAGAGTAACATTTAAATTGTTTGGGGGGATTCTGACTATAGTTTTGTACAGTGGGCTGCATATAAAACAACCATAGTTCAGCATCGACCGAACCCCAGTTAAGATTTGAATCAAATGATTTTTTCAGCCTAAACTGGATGTCATAATCCCTCCAACCATAAGACATAGGTGAACGCTCTGCACCTTTTCTAATTGTTGCCATATAACGAAATAAATTTATAGCTTGTGCAGAGTGCTTGGCGCAATAAATTGAGGCAAAAATTAAAAAGGCATCAGTTCATTGTGAAATAGACATAATTTTTTCATCTTTGTACTTAAGTTTAACCTGAGTTAAACCATCAAGATAAACAATATGATGCTGTATATCTGAAACTGGCTCTTTGATCAACAGTTTGCTCAGAGCGACATACTCGTTATTCCGAATTTTTTCTTTCAATGCTTGAGAGACATGAGCTCCAAGCATTGATGCTACACTCTGGAAAGGTGTAGGCCTATCTATTTCAACCATGCAATTTATACGTGCTGTAGTGCTAGATGTTGGCACATGCAGGCAACTGTTGCTCCACTGTCTGTTGGGTGGGTACAGTCTACACAACAGGAGTTAGGATGTCTGCAGTCTCGTAGACAGGCTGTAGGGGTACTGATTGAACAAGTGATTCTTGGCTGACCATGTAAATTCTTGTTGGCACTGACATAGCTGCCTGGGAATAATGACTGGTGACTGATGTCAGTATGATGGGGTCAATGGACGTCGACGCTACTGTGGATGCTTGGGTGGTCACCATGGAGGCTATAATACTATGCGCCGCAGATGTCCTGGATACTGGGCGGGCATATGGGCTTTTGGCCTTCGATGCCCTGGTTTTATTGGTTCTTAACATGGCTCATGAAACAAAAGAAATGTCATTTTAATTCCATTTAAAGTTTACCTTTTTTTTAACTGTAATATTCCTATTATTTAGTTAAATATAATGCAAGCACAAATTACAATTCATAGCAACTAAACTAATCTCTGTCAATTTGATTGTTTATTACCAAAACATATTACAAATATATTGCAACTAAACTACTCTTTTCCCTGTCAAGTTAACTGAATAATTTTCTACTCTGACTCATTTTTTTTACAACATGACTGACCTATGAGCAAGGTTGAGAATATTTTCCAAAAATTTAATCTGATAAACCGTGACTAAAAACCCTAAATTTTTAAATAAATCAATTCAAGTAATTGATCCTAATTAATAACTCATTAATTAAACAAACTTACTTTGACTTTCTCTTCGTGATGCCTTCGATGCAAGTAATTTTCTTCAGTTAAAATTTTTGGTACCAGCAGCTTTGTTGCTCAACAGGAAAAGGAAGTTTACCTTGCGCATGCCCAGTTGTATAAAGGTTACAAGTAAGAGTTGTCTATCTTTCTATAGTCAATAATTAGGTGCTCAAAATAACCTAGTTTATCCAGGGGAGATAAACTTTATTATACTGAAAATTGGAGAAAATATTAATATAGATATAATAAAAATATTGAATCTGTGTCTAAGCACCTTTAAGACACCATTGATATTAAGCTGTTAAGAGAAAGCAATATATCGATTTAATGGGAAAAAACGTTTTTAGAGAATGTCGTTAGGAATTTTTTATACATTGTATTTCACAATTATTCGTCAATTTAAAAAAAATCCTTTTGATTCTTACATAATAATGAGTCACCCCTTTTTTAAACATCTAACATCTTACTTGATATTTATATTTCCTTCTTGTGCAGTAATCATTTAGTGTGAAATTTCTTTTGACAAATTCATTCAATAGGGTTTTTTTAATTCAAAAAGAAAAAAATTGCAATCTTAATGAGGAAAATCATTATAAAACATGCATTTATAATTTTGTAAAACTGTTTAAAGATTGCGTGCGATTCCTTTACATTAGTTTTTTTAAACATTAAAAGGCAACAGGGAAGTTCTAGGTATTCAAGAAAAATTGACATGAATTCAATCTATCACCACAAAATGTTTCTTCAACTTTCTGGAATAAACAATATTGCATTTTGGGGTAAGTATCCCAGGTGTGATGCAGTAGTTGTTGTAAGCAAACATTAAAATACCTTACGTTACATTTTGTATGCACGAACTATGTAATTGTAATAATAATCAAAATCAAAGGCATACGAAACTATCCCCATAAGAAAATATTTTATGTTAAATGAATTAACAAATCTTTTTTTTTTTTTTCATTTTTGTAAAGTTATGAGGCTAGCATATTTTTATACTGAGAGGAACATCTCATCATTGTGCATAAGAAAGTTCAAATGAACAAAGTTATTGAATTCAAAATATTAACAAACAGGGCAGGAACACGGATCTTCGGAAATTTAAGAGCTAGGTTGGATCACAGGAGCCTAGGAAGAGTAAGCATTTTCTTCTGTCCAGTCATATCTACGGTTTGACCGGTGGGCAGGGGATGCTCACTCCTCCGTGTCTTCTGATCCCATTTCTGGTGTTCTACGATGGTTGTTCGAAAAGTTCGTTGACGATGTCAATCTTCGTTATATTACTCACCCGAAATTTAAAATAAGCACATTATAATATGTAAAAATATTTGTTAGGTTCATGTGTGAAGTTTCATTCTATTCGATTTAACAGAAATAAATTTACTTAATTGTAAAATCAACACGTTTTGTACCCGCGGAGCACACTAAACGGCAATGTAACGTCAAAACATAGCGTCAAGAATTTCTAAAAATACCATCCCTATACATTTCGTGAACACAGTACAATCCAATGCCCATTCATTAAATCCTATTTCTAATACTTGACATTTATTTTTTAAAGAATTGCTCTCGTTATATAATTTCCTTTGTTAATGTTTTAATTTGTTTTATATTACTTAACTCTGCTTTCAAAAGCGACTCTGAAGCGCCTATGTCTTTCTTTGATGTTCCAACTTTTGAGAAGATTTTTACAGTTAAACCATTTCTTTACATTATCCTCATCCGATACAGAGTCTCTGTCTCGCAAATACTGCCTGTACTATTTGTACACACATGCACATCTCGCTTGTGAATATTTTTTTTATTCCTTCAAAATTTTTAGAGTTTATTCAAGATTTTTTTTTGAGTAAAACACAGAATTGTATCGTTTTCTGCTGTGCTCCGCGACGTTCTAAAACGTCATCATTTTTGTTGTTTTCAATAAGGAATGCCTATCTTCTCAAGTAGATTTCTTTTCAACAAAGCAAAATATAAAACCATAATTTAGTACACGAATCGATGTAACAATTCTTAATTTGAATTTCTATTTTGTTTCTCATTTTTGCTCCATTTTACAGAGAATATGACTACATACATTATTTAGTGTATTATCTGTAACTTACTTAATTTTGACCTGCTCCGCGATCCGATTTTAGCATTTTTAAAATCAACATAAGTTTTTAATAAATCGGAATATGTTGTTAAAATTGTTAAAATATTTCTACCAAATTTGGATAGCATATGACCTCAAATAAAAAAGATATGACAATTTTCCACGAACTTTTCGAACAACCCTCGTAGAGGTTTGAGTTTGCTTTTATCCTGATTTTCATTGTTTGAATGAATTTTTTAGCTTGAATATTAGCTGTTTGATATCTCCATATTTCATTTTTCTTTAACTAATCATAGAATTTATCGTTTACTCTAAACAGGAATTATTCTCTTTCATTTCATGATTGGGGTACATGCCAAATGTTCGTCCATCTATGTGAATAACATATGCGGTACGCCAGGTGTTTTATATGACTGCCAGCATCAGGAATTTACTTATGTACAACAAATCAATGTTTCAGGAGTAATTGCAATAGATCTGTCAAACAACAATATCGCAAATCTTACCAATTCGGATTTCGAAGGGATGGGTGCTTTAAAAGCAATATATCTCACAAGAAACAAACTGCGGCATATTGAAAAGAACGCATTTCAACATTGCTCTCAGCTGTGTATATTAGATTTAAGCTCGAATGGGATAACAAAAGATTCAATAGAGGAAGGTGCATTCCGGAATCTGACAGCACTTGAAGATTTGAGAATGACCGACAACCCTTTTTCTAAAGGAGGATACCCGGATGAAGAAATAGGAAGGCTAACGTCATTAAGAAATTTGTCATTAGATGCACATGATCACTTAAACTTTTCTTCAGAATTCCAAAACTTGAAAAGGTTACAGTATCTGGAGATTTCACCATCAGACTATTTTTGGTTTGACCATTATTCATTTATGAATTTGGAAAATCTAAGTATTGAATATTTGAACCTCCAATTCAGCGCTAACGGTGCCTGTAACCATCATATTGAAGATATATTCTGGCCTTTTTCTTCTTTGAAAGGGTTGACTTTTCAAACATATTGCGGTTTACGTTATGTTCTGAAATCTTTGAAAAGATTGCAATTTTATCAAATGGAATACATCGACTTTACAGGATCAAGTAACTTCAATGGTGAACCTGTTCTCCTCAACGACGATGACGTAGCATTTCTCAAAAACATTTGTGTTAAGTTCTTTTCTCTACAGGATACAAGTACTGTGGGAATACCAACATTAAACCCATCTATATTTGTGAAATGTATTGAAGAAATTAATGTTTCACATAATTCAATATACACTTACTCGACGTTCTTCTTGTTCGCGCAAGCAAGACGAATAAGACTCGTTAATTTCAGTCATTTGAATGAATGTCGATTACCAAGTCCAAGACGAAACTTCTTAGAGACCAGAGAAATGCTACAAAAACGGCTTCTTCCTATTAACCTCACTCTCTCAAAAACGCTGGAGGAAATAGATGTTTCTTACACCTTTGCAAGACCATATTTACTTGAAATTCAATTAAAAGTATTTGCCATAAATCTTAAAAAGATAAACTTCCAATATATAGGTCTTCCTTTGTGTTCTTACTACAATATAGAGTTATACTTACCGAGTCTAAGAATCATTGATGTTTCAGGTTCGTCTTGCGAAAATTTAAATTTACTTTTTTCGAAGAATTTCCTCTCTTTAACAGAAGTTTATATGCGAAATACCATATTAAATATCGGTCTAGCCAGTGATGTGAATGGTATTTTCTTTCGTGGATTGTCGAAATTAACGATGGTTGATTTTTCAGAAAACGCCTTGAAAGAGTTACCTCCAAATTTATTTCTCAGCCAGGCGTCTTCAATGAGGTGTCTGATACTCAGCGATAATTTATTTACCACAATACCACGTGCCTTACATCTTATACCTAGGCTTAAACTCCTTGACCTGCGATCCAACAAACTCTCTTATTTTTCAAAGGAATCTATATCAATTATTAATAATTTACCCAATATTACGATAGATGTCAGAAACAATCCATTTGACTGTTCTTGCAACGCTTTAATTTCCTTGAAATGGATCAGAGACAATGCAAGAAAGTTTCATCATTTGAACAGGACCCATTGTAACGAGTTGGAGGACCCACGGATAACTGTTCATGAGATCGTTAACAACTTGAGAGCATTAGAATTAAAGTGTATTTCTCAACTGTGGTTGGATATATCGATATCAATTATGTCGTTTATGTTTTTGATTGTGCTATTGTTAACGATAATGTATCGATATAGAATGATCCTTCGTTATGGGGTACTGAGAATAAGGCTATTTTTGGAGACGTGGCTTTGCCCACAATTTGACAACAGATTCAACTGCTTTTGATGCATACATATCATATTCTCCTATGGACTCTTCCTTTGTGAGTTTGCATCTCTTTCCTAAATTGCAGAGAGAAAATCTTCGCATTTCCTTCCAGGATAAAGACTTTGAACCTGGTAGTACCTTTGCAGAAGAGGTTGTGAAGTTCATAAATATAAGTAAATGCGTTATATTTGTTATCACACACACTTTTCTGAAATATGACTGGGGAACATATGAAATCCAGGTCGCAAAGATCCATGCAATTCATAAAAATGCCCGGATTTTATTAATCATTAAAAATGATATCGGAGTTGAGGATCTTCCTCGAGATCTCCTCTACGTTTGGTGGAAAATTAAACCAATCAGATTGCCCGACAGTAACAACGCGGCAAAGAGGGAAAAGTTCTGGAGGAAGCTTATTAAGTCAATCAAGGAATCTTAAAGCTTGTTTTATTGTTTGAAGGATAGTAAAGAAATAACAGCAATAGAACCATATATCAGGCGATTAATTCTTGAACTTCAATGGCTGGTTTGCATCAAATTCATTTTAATTATTTTTACGTGACAGGTGATAGTGACTGGTCAACAGGGGATCCTTGCTCTTCCAAGGCACCTGATTCCACATCCGGAATTTCCAAGGGCCAAGTTTATGCACTCTTTACAGTATCTTTTGTAGATTTTTGTGTATAATACACTGTTCGTTAATCTCAACTATTTCATTATAATTTAGCGTTAAATACAGTATATTTCATGATGCAACATTTTCAAAAATAATGTTTTACAAACCTCCTGAGCTAAATTTCTAGATCCAATAGCGTTTCAATATGTTTGTATCATGTTATTTATCGATTGTTAGAATATTTATTCAATTTATATTAACAATCTAACTTTTAAATAGTTAATATGTTGATTAATTAAGGAATAACTGTCTTATTTTTCGATTTCATGATGTGATCAATCGATTGGCTTGCGTGATAATTTGCATATCACGCAAGCCAATCGATTGATCATCGTCATGAAACTGAAATATATGACAGTTATTCTTTGTATTTTCATGCTTTTGATTCCGCCAATCCACGTGCTCCAAGCCCTGCTTCTGTCTAGCTATTTGTCCCGCCCTGCACGTGATTTTTTTTAAACCGCGCCTATTGATGAACCAATACATCGATGAGGAAATAAAGTACATTTAGGACCCTCTCTACACAAGTGCAAACTTTTTTTGGACATTGAGAAAAATATATTGTATAAAGGAGTTATTATTGAGGTTATTTATTTAATTTTCAATGTATGGTGCGTGGCATTTACCCCTGGGAAAAATGTTTTAAAACAACACAATATTAGTGAATAGAAATCATTGTTAATTACTTCAGTGGAGAAAATACATGTCAATAACACGTTCAGTTCATTTATATTGACCTTTTAAAATGTTAAGAATACTTGAATTGATTACAAATTGAGTAATATATAGCAATTTTTTTTAGAATTTAGATCTTAGGGCAGATCACTCTAACTGCAGAAAAATACCTTAGAATCAGAACTCTTTAGTGTGCAGTGTAGAGAGGGTTCTTAACTATTTGTAATTTTACCTCGGACAAAGACATTGGAAATGTAAATATTTTACTGTGAAATTCCTTTTTTAGAGTGATTGATTGTCGTTGTTCTGTGTCCAGGGTATAAAATCTATCACGAATCGAAGTCTTATATGAAATTTAATAATTGAAAAGGATATAATTTGAACATTTCTTTTACATGTTTCAGTTAAAATTCAAATCCTACATTATTTTCAATCCGTGACATTTTAACCTTAAGAGAATATATAATTTAAAAGAATTTCTTTTCAAATATGTCTAATAACATTGCTAAACATTGTGGTTACTTGTGTTTCATATACATGTGTTTATTTATGTAATGGGTAACTATTGGTACGAAGGATACATTAACATTTTTGTTAATCTTGATGTGTCAGGGAGAGGGCTAAATAGGCCGAGTATGTTTGTTACCCAATCCTATTAACTTCTAGATCTGTGAATATAATATAGTTTAACATAAATTAACATTTTGGTATTTCTATTACTTTTACGTGTTTTTTATCGGATATCTCTATTTTTCTTTTAAATGGTCTTATAGATCTCCAAATGCTGTTTGCTTGCAATATAATTTTTTTTCCATATAAAGAAGCATTCACTTATGTTCATGTTGAATGACACAATCGCATTTATCTTTATAGAAAAATTTTTATGTTCAAATGTTGTTCCTTCATATTCCATAAATGCTCATAATTTATATGACAGAAAACATATGTATACATGTATACCTCATATAAACAAAGAACTTCAATTATAACAAAATATTTATTTTTTAGGCAAAGGAAGCTGTCACTTATTAATCTTTCTTGATAACATGAAAAGCAAAAAATTAAAATTTTTAACCAAAACCCCACATCTATATTTTGTAATTAACACTATCTGACTATGGTATTCCATTCCTGAAATTATCCTCACAGTCACAAAATTCTATTAGTCGTTTTACTTGTATTTATGTATAAAAATAATAAATAATAGTGTGAACATTAAACATATTCATTATACGATAATACCGGGTATATTACATATTTCAAATATCAACTCTTAAAATTTGGAAGGTTAAATTTACTAGCTATGTGATCAACAAATTGATACTATACACGTAATTCATCAGACACCTGCTGGAATAGATTGGGTTTGAACAAAAGCTGTACATTCCATGCAGACAAGCATTTTGGTGAAATTCCTGGACACACATTGCAAGCTACAGTTCAGTAATCGTAAGGCTGTTCTGCCGTAGGATTTCCATCCGAGCAGGGTCGGCACGCGCAGGACACCGGAATTGCCACGTGGAACACTCGGAATCCTCTTGACGTATTAGGACAAGTCAATGTTACACTCCGTCTCAAAGACGCTAAAGGCTCACAACAAGTACAAAAGGAAACAAGACGGACTGCCTGCTCATCGTATCGCCATTCTGGAACCGCACGTGAATGGCACGTGCCCCGACAAGCTGTCGCCCTCACAACTTTGGAATGACACCCTACATGGGAAAGGGAAAGTCCAACAAGTCGAATGGCACATGTTTCAGAGGCGGAATACTGTTGACGTTTTACTTGTAATATTTCGTCCACAGTATCACAGTTATTTCCTAAGATTAGTAGTGAAAATATAAATTCTAACAGAAATAGGTTCCAAACATAGTACCGACCGACTGCAATCATTGCAAATCTCTCAGAGAACCGTTTCCTGCTTTCGGCGACTTAAATTGTAATGAAAAAGACAGTTCATTATAAGATCTGTCTTTGAAGAGATGTACTGGCGATGGATTTTGGCTCACTTTGTCTAAACTGAAGTGGCAGACGACTTCTGAGAAACGTTTGCTTTCGTGTTCAATATCGTCTTCGGTTACAGGTAGCGTGTTCTACCTGTCACGCTGTTGTTCAGAAACGTCAACTAATCTCCAATACGCACTTTGCACTCCCTCTTTCCGTGTAACAAACGGTTTAAAATTATCATGAGGCTATTTACAAGAGATAATTTTGAAAACTTGAGTCTAACACATCATGTTTGAATTAGGTAACATTGTTTTCAATAAAAGGATTGGCAGCATTAGGACTTCATTGTCCTCAACAACTTGATTTAACCTGTTACAGTATGAAAATCTTTGCAAATGAAGTTTGTATTCAAGACCTGGATTTTTTGTTCGCCTTTTTGCGTATTTATCCAGTCGTTGTATGATTATTACGTTTTTTTTATGTTGTTGAACACTTTTTCGGTGAAATTTAAAGTTCTATATACGGCATTCAACGTTAATGTTTAATAAAATTTGAAATAATTAAACATTCCGACATTTTATGTAAGTTAAATCTATCAACGATTCATCAATACTTTTTTTTGTTCATTTTCCGGCACGCTTCAATAGTTATACGTATGATCTTTCTTGAAACTGTGTTTTAAAGTTTACCACGATATTCTTAATTTAAAACCATACTCAAGTTCCCTCAGATTTTCTAAAACAACAAAACAGAGTAATTTAAAGGGTATTTTGTATATTTCCCTCGGTTCTGCAACTTGCAAAATCGAAAAGAATTAAACAAAATGCAGATTCTGTTAAATGTTTTATTAATATAGTTCTTGTTTGAACAAAAAAAAAACAAGCACACATATTTTAAATATTAATCCGATCTGTACATATTTGTTTTAACCGATTAGAGTCTTTGTAACATAATATTTACACGATAATAAATGTATCATATATCAACAAAAAAAAATATGATGAACTCGTTGCTTCTGTATAAATCTAACTATATAATATATATAGCAACACATAATACTATGTTAACAAACATGTTCATTTATACGCCTTATACTCAGTTCAAAACATTCATTTAGAAAACATAACACACAGGAATGTAACAAGAATCACATCTGGAGCTTTTAACTGTTTCATATTTTTCCAAAAACATTTTCTCCAACCACTGAACACGTTTTGCTGAATATGCTTTCATGACTGAAGTATGCAAATGCATTTTTTACGATTTACAAAATAATAAAATAATAAATTTCAGGAAAATAATGATGTAATTGAAGGTATTGGTCATCTTTCAAAAGATTACCCCCCCCTCCCACTTAACATACACTCTGTACTTCTGTAAAGCCTTTAAGAAATACTAATATCAATGACGTCTTTAAATAATTGAAATTATGTGATGACGTAATAAGAATTACAATGGATGGAGAGTTTGGAGGCTTCTGGAGAAACATAGAAATTCTTCAAAGACAGCAATTTTGACATAACATCATAATGTTCCCTTAGAATAATAAAATGCTGGACATCAAACGCTGTACATAGAACACAAGTACACGATCACAGAAGACGACTGTAGCACCATAAAACTGTAGCAAGATCAAAGGAAACAGAATGATAAACATTCAATGAGAGAAAATTACAGTAAGTACTGAATGTTCTTAATTATATTACAATAAATTAATCTTTTCATATTATTTTTTATAAAAATTCCTCTTTCACATTCTATTTTCATTTATCAATAAAAAAAATAATAATAACACAAACGTCGAATACATGTATAATAAACTTAATTACTGAAAGAGAAAAAGAATAGATTGTTTTAAATCTAAGATATCTCTTTGCATTTTCTGAAGTAACCAGCACTCTTTGACATGATATTCTATATTACACATGTATACAAAAAAGTAAATTTAATCTGCACTTACTCTACTGTAGCTAAGTATTAAATATTTATTTTTAGACAATTATTCTTGCTTTATTTTACTGTTACTCCATTTTTTTTTCATGCAGAACATAAAATAAGCATATCTGATGCATTCTAAATAAATATGACAGAATGCAAAAAGGGAATGACAGAATGTAACAAAAAAAGGAAAATTGCTGTAGTTTATCGGAATATAGAAGCTGAAAAAATTGATTGTCAACAGTCTGGCAAATTTACATATAATTAACACATATTAATTATCTGTCAAATATCAGTACATTCTCTCAGAATTTGGCAGAAAATGTGGAATATGATCACAATGAATACCAAATTAAAATACTCTAACTCACTTTTAATACGTGATTAACTTTTTCTGTTTTGAATATTTACAAATGACTGCTGCTTACAGACATTTGATTTTACATTTATCAGTAACATGAAAGATTATTTATAACAATTAAAAAAATTTGTGAAAATACTGTTCGAAAAAATACTAACATATGGCGAAAATAATGTGTTGTGAAAGATAAGTGTTCTACAATTTTACAACACAAATCATATTTGAAGAAATTCAATTTCTTTTAATATGTTTTGATCGCAGATGTAAAGATAATTATTTTAAAAGGGTCCCCATACATGCATTGCAACAGAAAACAGTCATAAAATACAGGCAGAAGAGAAATCTAACATAGCTGGCCAAGTATTTATAAAGAGAAAACTTGTAAATTGATCAAGAAGTTGTAACCGGGTTATATTTGTGTTCCGTTGTATGCAGTTAGAAAAGGAATGTCAGCTGTGCTAACTCAATTATTATTAGAATACCGGTAATTTATCATTCAAATACATATGACAAAAAAGTAAATTCAAAGGCGAAAAATAAAGAAAAGTTCTGCCAAGTATCTGTGCTGCATATTTGATAAAATTGACCCCTAAATTTCTGTTACAGTCAAGAAAAAAATTTTTTTCACAAAAATATACCTGAAGAACTCTATTATGCAGACTGTAATAGTAGCAATGTAAGTGAAAAAAATCATCGGTCTCAAGCACCTATTGAAAAGAATAGGAAAATTCTTCTTTGACAACTTTGCAAGATTATACTTATAATAATAGTACATGTTCAAAAATTCACAAAAAGAAATTCTTCAGAGAAAAAAAAATAAACATAAATATTTTGGAATCATATAAGAATATCAATCATGCAGAATTACAGATATGTTCACAAAATTGTAATGTAAAAACTGGAAAATATTCAGTGGAATTATTTGCTAAACCCATGCAAAATTAAAGTATACACAGGTTCAACGCTATATCCACTAAACATATTAGGAATACTAATATATCTGTAAATAAATTATAATTTTGAAACTAACCTCTATTGATAGTATTGGTTTTCTTCTCTCCAACTGTAATGTTAGCAATAAATGATAAGCATTTAAATATACTGCCTGGCATAAAGACACACACATTTGTCTCAATTAGGGGCCTACATAATTAATGTAATTATGTTAATTATTTGTTAGTATCAGTAAGTTATACTTTCTTCAACATCTGAATATTATTTATCAAACTCAAGACATTTTTGCATTTTAACAATAGTCATTTAAATGAAAACGATGTCTACATAAATTATGATTTATATGTATAAATATAAATATCTCTGTTTAATCAAAAAAGAAGGGAATATATAAATACATAAGGAATGTCAATCCAACGGAATGTTTTCAAAGAGAACACATGTACATCTTTATGTTTAACAAAAAAATTATTTTCATTTAAAATGGGAAAATAAACTGTTTAGATGTACTTTCTTATGATGAAAAATGAAATTATTTTTAAATTTCAAGAAAAAAATTATAGTCAATGAATTTCTTGAAAATGACCAAGCACGATCATATAGCTTTCTAAGAATCTGTGTTTCGTATTTTCAATTAATATATTTCATCATCAGGCAATCAGGTATATATATTAAGGAAATCACTAAATGTTAAAGCATAAAGGTATATGTAAAACTTAAACAGAAAATGCTATATAACAGTTTTGTAGATAGTTTGCAGACTTTGACAATACTTTGTAGAAAGAAAAACAAAAACTCTATTTTGGCATATAATGAGCATTCTTTAGCATCTGGTCATCCTTGAACTCACTGACGACCTTCTGAAATTTGACCTCTGACCTTGTCAGATTAGGACAATTGCACTAATTCAGCTGTAACTGATGCTTCTTTGTCTCTAAATCTCCTGTGAAGTTTTCATCACAATGATTGACTCAACATTACTTACATCTTTTTCTTTTCTTTCTCCCGTCCTGACCCAAATTCTTTCATACACACAGTTATTGATAAACTAGAGCACGAAATAGAGGGAAATTCATTGTACACGAATCATGCTTCTTTTTTTCACCTAAAAATATTTCTGTACTCCAGAAGGCAGTATTCGACAATCCGACTCTGGTAAATCATGTTGGCCGCTAAATTTGGTGTCACAGTTTCTGGCCAAATTAGTGTGGGTCCAAACACTATAGCCACACTGTGGACCTGCATACGATTTTCCTTGCTATGCTCTATGACCCTACAATTAGAAGTACATAGGTTTTTATGGTCAAATGTATTTTTCTTTTTTTTTTGGGGGGGGGGGGGGGGTCTAAATATTCAAGAAACTCCAAATCTGAAATAAATTCCTTTTAGTTAATATCAATATTCAGATAACGATTTCTGAATTTTAAGAAAGAGAAAAAATATGCATCAATGTAAGATCAATGGAAAATTATTACAAACAAACAAACTAGTCAGAGAGGGCAAACAGATTTCTTAAATATGAGTATATAGCCTCAACTTAAACTTACTTGCACAAATGAGCCAGAAAAAATTTCAGGGTTTCATAGTTATACTTTGGTAGTGTGTTTATTAAATCTCTCACAGCTTTCAAACGGTCACTGTTCTTTTCCCTTCCTGTATAATTAATGAAACATTGATTAGGCTAAAAAGATCCACAATAAATCAAGATATTATTTTTAATAAAATTATATGAAATATGTTCAAGACTTTTTATCACTATAGAAGCAAAATTTTTCAATGGCAGGGAAAACATTCATTGAGAATATACCAGTTTAAATAACAATTAAAAGTTTGGTTTTAAAGTGGTTGGAATTTCAAACACATTTCAACATATATTCTTGAGTTCCAAGATAATGGTGTCCGAGATACCAATTCTTAAACTCCATTATCTCGAAAACCAAGGATATGTCAAAGTAAATATGAAATTCCAACCACTTTTTCTAAATTGTACACAACTTATTTCATGCAAGTACTTAATATCACTAAGAGGCTCCCCAAACCAAAGTCATATTGCAGAATATGGACCCATGGTTCATGATTGGACTGTTACTCTACATTTTGAATTTTCATGCAAATGGTGCAATATTAAAATAAATCAAGAAATCTTATTTTGTGATTGCTGCTTCTCAAAAAAAATTTTCACATATATATATATAGGGACCTACAGTGTCATTATGTATTTTCATTTGCTCAGATATCTCAAATTATTTTCTTTCCCCTCTTGAGTTTGAAATAATGAAGTTTGATAGTTTAAAAAACAAATAATTATCAAAACGATCTTTCCAGTACAGAACACAACTTTGATAAACAAAAGCACATAACAAAATCTCTTCCTTCTTACCTAAAGCTGGAATAAACTTGTCGAACACTCCATATGTGAAAAGAGGTTCTTTTAATTCTCGGAAGAACAACTTAAGGGAACCAGTCAAAACATGGATATCCCAACATTCATCCTCTAAATCATAATGGTCTGCAACACAAGATTAAAAGAGGAAATGAAATAGTAGTCACAAACAAGTACTTATAATTACTTCAAACAAATGTTGTTGAAAGATTAGATTAACTATTCAAGTCACAAGTCAATATTTTAGTACAATATTATAAGTGGTTAAGAAGTTGTATTAAAATGGCATCAATGCATACATGTAGCTTTAAAACTGACCAAAAACTTGTATCTTTTAAAAAGTATCATAAATGATTAAAAGAAACAAATATTATTATATAGCAGCTACAAATACTGAAAAATGTTATAACAGTGAAACTTGTCTAATCCCAATGTTGTGTATTCCAACATCTTGTCTAATATGATGTAAACTTCAGGTCCCTTTTCAGTAATATTTCTATTGATTATAATATTGTCTAACTCAGAATGTTGTCTTATTCAGCCACTGGTGGTCAGATTAGACAAGTTTTACTGTACACGTAGCTAACACTTTTCTATTTGTGCAAATCTAGCTGCTAACCAATTTCAGAAGTGACTGCAACATATGTTTGGCATCGAAATGTACTCTCAACCACTACTGAAATAATTATTTCAATAGTGGTTGTATTTCAATAGTGGTTACATACTATGTTTGTTTCCAAAATCCATTCTCAACCACTATTGAAATAATTATTTCAATAGTGGTCGTATTTCAATAGTGGTTGCATACTATGCTTGTTATTGAAATGCACTCTCAACCACTATTGAAATAATTATTTCAATAGTGGTCATTATTGCAATAGTGGTTGCAACAGACCAATCTTAATGTCTGAAACATGCATTTTGATTTATTCATTGCTTATTTTGTGAACAAAACTTCAGAAGAAATATCACGCTTTCCTTGATCAATGTACAAATTTTCATACATGAATATGATGTAACATATTTAAGAAGTTTATGCAAATTCATGCATAGGAAAATAGATAAGTTGAAGATATTGAGAGTTACATCAAGTGCAGAATCAAAGTTTACAGCATAATATGCATTCATTTGTCGTAATAGTTCAGAATTATTAAATCTTAAAAAAGTTAATTATTGGGATGATTTCTTTCATCAAATACATTGTTCCGACATATACTCTGATATTCTAAAAACCAATCATTCGGCAGAACAGTGCTATGGACAGTAATACTTGTAATCAGTGGACTAAAACTGTTACCTTTTTGAGTTTCATTTATTGTGTTGCGTTCTGCATCTATTCATTGTTAAATTTAATCAAAACATATTAAATATAACGTAATAGATATTAATAATTATTGAGAAACATAAAAAGTGATTTGTTTTGTCTTAATTAATCTCTTTTTATATAATCGTCAATGGTGAACATATTTCCTAGCACCCAGTCTTAAATTGCCGTGCTTAATAAAGTCTTCAAAAAAGTCTAAACTCTTAAAAAACAATGAGTTTGTCAGAATATATCTACTGCAATCCTGCTTAAGGTGAAGATATGTAAAAAATAAATTATACCTAGTTACATAACATCAGGTTAATTCACACTAAAAAGTTTTTAAAATGGTATAATGGTTTCAGTAATATTTTTTTATTGGGGTCTAATTCATTTTGTAAATGAATATTTTAATAACTATAAAGTTCTTTATTGCAACTTTAAGCAAAGATAATATTTGTTGCATATTAAAAGAAACATGCTTATCTGTATTCTGATAGTTAAATTCCCCTCTGTGTATTAGTGTATTTTGTTACAAAGAGATATTTCACATTATGTTATTAATAAGTAACATGCACAATGTTTATTATTCCAATACAAAGGTGATTATATTAATTCTGCTTCAGTTTTAATTTTAAATCAGAAAGTATTAAAAGCTGTCTGATATTAATGTCATTGAAGTGTTATAAGTTTATCATGTTTATATACTGGTAATATAAACATATAATATATATCATTTGTTTTAATAATTATATAATATAATAATTTTGAACACTGTTTTATATCATCAGCAACTCATATCTCTGAAGATTATAAATATGAAGTCTGTTTATGCTGATTTAACTCACAATTACAACTAGAATTTTTAGCAATATTCAAATGTCAATGGTACATTCACCTGGCAAAGTTTGCTTAAATGCCCCCACCTTTTTTTTTCTATTTTAATTACTTCTCTATCAACATGATCAAAGCACCTTGAGGCTTGGTAAAATATGAAAATAATTTCCATTTCTGGATAACCCGCAAGAGTTTTATACTTGATCCCAGAGTTTAGCTGTTACCTTGGCCCACCTGTAAAATTATGTTAATTACCTTGACCCACCTGTAAAATATAAGTCGTCTCTTACCTTGATCCACCTGGCACCTGAGTTTTTGGATTTGAGCAAGGTTTCCACTGATTCTGTACATACCATCATGGTCCAGACCTGTAAATACAGAGACTATATATACCATCATGATCCAGACCAATAAATACATACAGGAGAATTAGGGTGGGTTTAAGTTTTGAAATATCATGAATTATCAAATCATGGCTATATCATGTTGCTTATCAATGCAGTTCACTTTATAAAACAAAATGTTTTCAATGTTGGAGAAATAAGCTCAGAAGTCTTGCAATTAACTGTTTTTCTTTCTTAGTAAAAAGTTCTTTTTGCAGTCCTCAAAAATAAAATCATGATACATAATTTACATTTTGAATAATATAGATATTAAATTAAGTGTGCTTATTGATTCTAATGGTCCCTATCCTAGGATTTAAATCTATATAATCTATTATAAGAACTTATTCAGTACATGTACTTTTTTTTTGTTTGTTTGTTTTTTTTCTTTTTTAGAGAAGCATTAGAATTGAATCTTGTCTGTTTTGAGTTGCATCAAGATTTTTCATGCTTTCACATACTGCAGGTTACACAAAACATCCTGAAATGTTGGCCTCTCAGCGGATAGTCATTATTCCCTGGCTGATAAAGAACAACCACATGGTTCCAATGCATGGACTCATTTTTATTACATTACTTCCGGTCAACATAAATCTAATTGTGAAACCAAACATGTACACATAATGACATTTCCGGAGTACTAACATCGATAGATACGTCCTACACATCCTTCCCAGAAAATGTCAAATTTAAACTAAACTTTTGCTCTGAGTCATACTTGGTGCTTTGCTAATGCAGAGTAAAATCAACAAAATATATATTTTGTCTAGTGTTCTATAAATTATGAGTATTAGTCAATTTGATCAAATCATTCATTTACAAGAAGATACTTATAAACAAATTAAACAAGATCAACATATATTTCAGTAATCAAAAGACTATATGGGATGTTTTAATACCCTTTTTTACAGAAGTATGTCCCTTTAAGACAGTCAGGTTACCTTTTTTCTCTATTGCCACAACACATTTCTGCACAAACTTGGGAATCTTTCCTTTCTCTCTCTCACACAGTAGTTTAAGATGAGCTCCAAATACAGCATCTACAAATAAGGTGCATCTGTTTTATGCAGCTTAAAAAAGATAAAATATATGTATATAATTATCTATAATGCCAAAATTACAAAGATCTATCAACATGTACATAAAACTAAGAATAGAAAGTTCTTATCATAATAATAATATAGCTTTCAGCAAGCATGTATGTAATAAAATACCTCAGGCACAGTGACTTTCAAAAAATTAAACATATAATTGTGCATTGATATTAACAATTGTTTATTGTTAGTTTTTTTTTTTTTTTAGGAAGGGCTATCATTATTGTGAAAACTTTCTTGACATTCATGTAATAATAGTGTCACAAAAATATACAAGAAATAGATTAACTGAGTGCTTTCTATAGCTGTAAGTAATTACCCTTTATAATGCCCTTTTGCTCAAGAGACTCTTTCGTGGGTCTTGATTTTAAGAAGTTGAACAATTTGGTCCTCATTTTACCCCTCTCCAAACTTCCTTCCTCATTGGAACTTCCTTTTCTGACTGAAATGTTATTTATCAACAAAATTAAATAGGAACAGATAAAAATATATATCTACGTTATGGCGGAATCTGATAACCACTTGATATAACTGATTAGATTTTTGTATACAGGATAGAGTGTGATTCTAAAGTAAACCAGAAGTCTCTGTCGAGACTGTAGCTCTACTGGTTTGTACTTATAACAAAGGATGAGAAAAGAAGCCATTGCCATCAGACCAAAACTGTAGGATGACTAGCGTTTTAAAGGAATTTCAAAGAAAATTCAATTTTGAGTAACCATGGCAACATCGTTCATCGAAAGTAAAATCCAATGCACTATTTTATATATCTTAGTATAGTCTACTTGTGTGCCAAGTAATATTGAAATCAAATCAAAACTGTAGGAGGAGTAGCGTTTTAAAGAAATTTCAAAGAAAATTCTATTTTCAGCAACCATGGCAACACCGTTCATCAAAATAAAAAACAAATGCACTATTTTATGTATCTTAGTGTAGTCTACTTGTGTGTTACGTAATATTGAAATCAGACCAAAACTGTAAAAGGAGGAGCATTTTAAAGGAATTTCAAAGAAAATTCTATTTTTAGTAACCATGGCAACACCGTTCAACGAAATCAAAAACCGATGCACCATTTAATGTATCTTAGTATAGTCTACTTGTGTGCCAGGTAATATTGAAATCAAATCAAAACTGTAGGAGGAGTAGCATTTTAAAGGAATTTCAAAGAAAATTCTATTATTAGTAACCATGGCAACACTGTTCATCGAAATCAAAAACCAATGCACTATTTAATGTATCTTAGTATAGTCTACTTGTGTGCCAAGTAATATTGAAATCAAATCAAAACTGTAGGAGGAGTAGCATTTTAAAGGAATTTCAAAGAAAATTCTATTTTTAGTAACCATGGCAACACCCTTCATCGAAATCAAAAACCGATGCACTATTTTATGTATCTTAGTGTAGTCTACTTGTGTGCCAAGTAATATGGAAATCAAATCAAAACTGTAGGAGGAGTAGCGTTTTAAAGAAATTTCAAAGAAAATTCTATTTTTAGTAACCATGGCAACACCCTTCATCGAAATCAAAAACCGATGCACTATTTTATGTATCTTAGTGTAGTCTACTTGTGTGCCAAGTAATATTGAAATCAGACCAAAACTGTAGGAGGAGTAGCGTTTTAAAGGAATTTCAAAGAAAATTCTATTTTTAGTAACCATAGCAACACCGTTCATCGAAATCAAAAACCGATGCACTATTTTATGTATCTTAGTGTAGTCTACTTGTGTGCCAAGTTATATTGAAATCAGACCAAAACTGTAGGAGGAGTAGCGTTTTGAAAAATTGTTTACAGACGGACAGACAGACAGACGGACGGACGACGGACACCTTACTATCGCATAAGCTCTTCTGGTCTCTGACCAGTAGAGCTAAAAATATACATAGTTTTTATAATAAAAAAAAATTCCGAATAAAATTCTAAAATTTTAATGCAAAGTAAAATTAAACATTTAAACCAAAGGTGTCAAAATGAGAAACTACATGAGGGTAACATCAGTGTTTTTTTTTCTAATGTATGATACATCAATTACTTTCAAAATGTATTGAGAATTTATGTGGAAAAAAGTCCCCCTCGAAAGAAATGAAAAGAGAGCATGTATTGAGTAATAAAATATTTCATTTTATAGATGGTGTTATTCAGCAGTAAAATTTATTTTCCTCTGTCTATATTAAATGAATAGCATATTAATTTGATAACACATTTCATCTTTTAAAGATTTTTTCCTTGTGTATAACATCTCCTGAAACATGTATTACATATAAACATACAGTTTCAATTATTCTAACAAATATTTAATGTTCAAAATTATGAAAATTTATATTCCATATATTGTAGAATTTGAAAGTCTTAACCAAATCTTTGGTAACTATTGAAGTATTTCATATCAGTTGGAAAATGTTTTCAATGAATTTTAGCTTCAGGATAGGAATTAATACATATTTAATTGCATGTTTATATGTATATACTCAATGTACGTCTTTTAATTTGATTTAAAAATGTCATTTCCCAAAATTGAAAATGATGACTCAAACAATTGTATACAAGTAAATTACATTAAGTAGAAAGTTATGATTAAAAGGCTTATGAGATTAGAGCTATAGAATAAATTAAATGAATGGCAATAAAATTGTAAATGAAATGGGGAAAAAAGATACTCTAGCTTTAATTTCAATACAGAAATGAAAGATACAGAGACAATGCAAGTCATTTTTTTGTATATCTTAAGTAAAACTTTATATAACAATCTGATTAGATTATTTCAATTCCTATAATTATTATTTGTCAAGTATTGGCAAATACCAAAATACATTTGTTTCAAGAATCATATCATTTAGAAATGAAACTTTTCGCTTTTGCCCATAGCCTATGCACAGGACTTGGTTTGATTAAAAACAAAATTAATGCTAGAAAAAATACATTCCACTGTAACATGACAATATTAATGTGATTAGTCATTCTGTCATTTTTTATAAATCTCGTTCATTTACAATTCATTTTTAGAGACTTGTCGTGTAATGTTTATGCTATTATTTTTCTGTTAGTCTAAGAGTGGAAGGAAATTACAGGCAAGAGAGATGAAATGAAAATTACCTAAGGTTAATGATTCCTTTGAAGGGCTTGCTAATGTAATAATAATGTAATGTAACAATAATGATAGAACAATTACATTTCCTTTTAAATTATCTAAAACAATTTTGTAATTTTTTTTTTTAAATATAAGTAATGAATTACAGGTAGAAAAAAAAAAATCATTTATTTCAATTCATATGAAAACTTTCGTCATTACCAAAATACTTTAACAGTATGCTACTCATAAATAATTTTATTTTGGACAGGTATGCTGTGATATTTTTGGGTTATAAAAAATGTGGTGCAAATACTACTGCTTGTAGGCAAATATATAATCAAATCTAAGAATATATCAAAATGAAATGAAAATAAGTGGAAGACCCTTTATACTGACGAATATAGAGTAGATTATGAAAAAGAACAGTGGCCATGGTGAAGACCTACTTTTAAAGGAAGGTTTTTTCTTTGGTAATTTTTCTGGCTCAGGCCGTAACTGTGAGGGTGAAGGGGGCGTGACATCACTAGATCCTCCCTGTAATAGAAAAAGCCACTCAGAGTATGAACCATTCAGCACAGCTCAACATAATGTATAGCAGATTTCTTTAGCGGGTGTAAATTTTGGCATTTTGCTTTCTCAAAGGTATGCCAATAATTTTGGCAGAACTTTTTTTGGCTGATTCACAGATCCATAATGTTTTAAAAGAGACGAAAGTCATCTTCAAGATGATTTTTCAGTATGTTTAATATACTGTAAATATTCAGCATTTTCTGAACAATACTTTTGAATACCTATTTAGACACAAGTTTGAGTGAAATCAACACCAGATGAAATATTTCTTCATAATACTGTAAATCACTTTTTATTTGCGAGAACTTTATTTTTGCTTAATTACGCGAGACAGAATGCCCGCGAAAATTTCATTCTCGCTTATTATAGAATTCCTTAAGATTATATAGAGCAACGAACACAATTCGTGAAAATTTTGTCTCGCTGATGAAGTCAATGACTATCTCACGAAAATAAGGTGTCGCGAAAATTAAGTGATCTACAGTATTGCCTAACAGCAGACTGGTCAACATAATTTCTTTTTTCATTTAAGAAATTATCCCGCTAAAAACTCATGATATACGGTAATTGTTGAACAGATTGTCCATTTCCATGGCCTTTTATGCATAAATTATCCCATGTTTCCTACAATCATTTATGCCCTGGCATGCCAAACAAACTAGACAGTGATTTCTGTGGATATGAGTTAGATGTTAGGAAGCTAACTCACCAGACTTCTTATTGTTTTATCTATTTGGACCAGCCAACTTGTCATCATGATGTCATCCTCAAACTGTAGGATATACTGGTCTCCTTGGCTGGTAGTCAACTGGAAATAAAGATTAGCATTTCATTCAGGGCTATTTTATTTTCAACACATAGATGCACAATCTAAATTACCCATTCATTGACAGAACTGAACATTCACAACTAGAGATTTGAAAATTTTAAAGAGGCTGGGGAGTACGTGGCAGCCATTTTCAGACTATTTCAATCTCCTTTAAAAGAAGAGCTCCATATGATCAAAATTTAAAGCTAAAATGTGTGATTTTTATCTTTGCCAAATGATAGTTGACAGCTTAAGATACCGTATCTAAAAAAATAAGTTAGATCTGGTGGTTAATTTGTGGTTATTTTGCTGACCCCCCAGCCTCCTTAAGCTTGAGTTTTCAATATTTTTTATCAACATTTTTTTTTTCAAATTGCAAAAGTACATTCAACCCCTAGAAAATACAGTCATTACTTTAAACAATTTTTTATTAACTAAACTTCCACTACGGAGAAACAAGATTCGGTCATTCAAAATGTCTGTTTTAACCATATAAAAACAAGACTGAAAGAGACAGTCTTGCATAGCTGTAAACATTTTGTCTCTTCATTATGAATTATAGACACTTACCCTTAAATACTTCTTATTGGTCTTTTCCTTGTGTTTTTCAACTAGCCCCCCATGTAAGGGTACTATGAACTCTGGTCTTCCATTAGGGGACCCAGGCTGGCTTTTTGATGCCCTTAGATCTTTGTAAAACACCATATTAGAGCCAGAGAGCTTGACAAAGTTCTGGTTGGAACTTTTTCTGAAAAATTTTTACATAAATTTATTTTTTGTTATGATTCTGAGAATCATATTATAAAATTTATCACCCTATAAATATGTGCAAAAAATGCCAAAACACTGTAATAAGAGATTTATTACTTCATGCAGCAAACAAGATGGCGCTTCAATATTTCTCAGCTGATAGTTGATCAATGTTTTAAAACTTACATGTGGAAAACAGGATCAATTCATATTCCATAAAGAAAGTTAAACATGGATTTCAATTTCTATTCAAATACTATGTAGTTTACTCTTTCAAGGAATGCAAAAGCAGTTATACCCTATTTTCTACATTTAGTAATCAAACACTACTCACTTCAAAGATCATCAAATATTTCCATTTCTAATATTTTTCTCTGTGATAACTCTTTGAAAGTTAGGGGAGTTTATTTCTTGATAACTCTGCCGGAATGTAAATAAGGCAGGTCGATAGGTCAGGAGCTAAAGAGGCCTAATACGCATGCAGATCTCACCCGTTATGCAAATTATTCCATGTTTCCCACTATTGTTCATGCCCTGGCATACTACACTAACTAGACAGTGATTCCTTAAACATGTCCCTTACTTTCAACAAGGGCCATCAAGAAATTGTAGCAATTGGTAAAATACTATTTTATGCCCCATATGAAAAATCAATAGACAATCTCTTACTTCTTTGGTTTTCCAGCTTCCATGACTTTGGCAACCTTGAATGTTCCTGAGAGTCCCTCCTAGTTAGAAGAAATGTCAAATGATAGTGTAAAATCACTTACTGTAAAAGTACTTTTTTCCGCATGGTATTAATTTACGCTATGTACGAGGCCACAAATTTTCTGCGGAAATTTGTTCAAGCGTACTTAACATAAATGTAAGGCATAAAGTGACAGTCTAAGAAATCCGTGTAATTTTCTACCCGCGGATTAAACGGAAATTGAGATTCCGCGGAATTATGACCCCGCAGATAAAAGTACTTCTACAGTATTTGAATCCAGGAGTCAATTTTTTGTGGTTTGAGGGAAAGAAATTGGTTCAAGGGGATATAAGTACATGGTTGAATTGAAACATCATATAAATGTACTAATAAATTTCAATATTACATGGGGTACATAATTTCGTGGGTTTTGAACTCCATACAATGAAAAAACAAAAATCAAGCCACAAGAAAATATTTTTCATGAATAACAGGCTTCTGTAAATGACAGATTATTAACAATATTAAAGTTACCTGCATCTGTGGAGCTACTGTAGCACTTCTTTGGTCACTGGAAACACCTTCCTACAAAAACAATGTCAAGGTCATTCATTCTAAATAATTTCATTCTGTAGGATACAGTACAAGTAATATAAAGTACCATTATAACAGCTTTCTGTTTTTTAAATAATCATTTTCCTTCAATATTTGTGGAGAGCATTTATAGAAATGATACAGAGGATTTCAAATATCTTACAAGTCTCATAAAATTGACCTTCACAATTATTTTAGCATTATTGAAATAAAAGATGCTATTTTAAATATAATAAAAGAATTTGAATGCCCTTTATTTTTCATGTATATTTTATAGATACATGTATTTTCTTTATAGTTATACATTTAGTAACTTCCAAAGCCGTGAGAGTTTTATATGAACTTTAATTTTATACTAGGAATCAAGCTGCCAGGCTGATTTTGAATGGTTTATCAAGTTACTCTTCTTAATGGGCCAATTCATGCATGCACAAAATACATCAATTCAAAGTGCACACTTTATTTGCATGAAGCTTTCTTATGAAAACCTCACAATATACTAGTGTGCATGTACCTTAATAATAATTTTGCATTTGTTTAATGTATTTTGAATTGTACTCTATAAAGAATTTTTCTTTTTCATTATGAATTAATTTGAAAAAAAAATGATATGACCTTCATCTAGAAAGAATTCGAAAAAGTTAGAAAAAAGAAAATCATATATGATATAAAACAAAAGTGATGAAGAGTTGAATATTGATTAATTAATAAATGATTTCAATAGCTGTGCACAATTACCTAAAGTCACTAATCAATAAAATTGTAAATTAAATCAGACATCGAGAAAACAAAATCATACCAAGTCCATCCACAGACAATAAAATATCTGTAGTTCAGTTTTAGAAAAAAAATGACAAAATTTTATTTAGACATATCTTGCAAAATCATGCAAAGTTTTTAATCAAACAAACACAATAAAATGATATGATTACTAGCTAGCACACAACTTTTAGGCAAAGATTTTTGCTAGTTTTTATTTTTAGAATTTAATGTAAGTATACATAATTCATATTCATTTATTGATAAAACCTTTAATTTTTTCTATCAAGCTTAAATGAAAACTAAAAATTCTCAAAAAGCAAAAATTCTTTTTATGACAAATGAAATCAAACTTTAGTTATGATAAGTCTTTTTTTTTAATTTACCCCAGTAATTCTATGGTTATTTTCTAAAGCAGTTAAAGTCACCTTAAATATTAAAAATTTTTAATGACATACTGTTAAAAAACATTAATAAAGCAATAGCACCTTTGTACACATTTATTGTCATGGTAACTGCAGTTTCCTAGGAGATGTGGATGGAAAATAAATATCACTTATCCAGAATTTCCTCACTGTGGACATTATAATTAGCCAGTATTATGAAAATATACAAAACCCAATGGGTTTTTTCCCATGGACTTAAGTTACAATTTGAGATTTAATAATAAATCTTTATGGTCACTTTTTTAGTGTTTGGTCTGAATATACATCTAACTATTTGATTCAGGCTGCAAACTTGTGTTCTTGAATTTTAAAATTGCCACCATGCAGTTTTAAATTTAGGTCTACTTTCTGGCTGTTTCATTAAACATGTATTATTAAAGAAATTTATCTTCAGTTAAAGTTATCTTCTGGAAGATATGTTTACTTGCATTTATAGTGAGTTATTTTCAGATTTATAGAACTGGTTCATGGGATAGAATTATGCTTTTTTCATCACAATATAACGGTAAACTCCAAAAAGTAATTTTACTTAGATGCAGAATGTAAATGAAATTTAATTAGTTGATGCAATCAATGGACATTCTCAAGACTTGCATAGCAAAGAAACATAGTAATTTATTTATAGAACATAAGGAGTGTATTAATAATTAAGTTTGATAGACAGAAAACTTGATAGTTTTCAATAAAAATAACATTCAGAATAAAATGTATGCTCAACACGTAAAAAGCTGAAATGAAAAGAAAGCCAATATACTTTAAGTTTAATATCAGCAAAGAAAAATCAGGGGGTGATCAGTTAATTAACCACCAACAAATGGATGAAGAAAAAGGTTTTTTTTTCTAGTTTTCATGCATAAACATATAATCACCAACTTATAACAAACTAAAGACGAATTTAAAAACTAGAACTGTCCAAACGGGACAAAATACCCCCCGCTGGGTTTTTCAGAAGTAAGTTTTTCCATAATAAAGATATGTATCAAACACGAATTATGAAATTTTTATTTCAGTGACCTTGAACTTCCCCAAATAACCTTGGGTCAAGGTCATGACACACCCTTGGGTCATGGGCAATCTTTCAGTGAAATGAGAACCTACCAAATTTCTCCATAAGAAAGATATGGACCGGACTTGAATTATGAAATTTTTATTTCAGTGACCTTGAACTTCCCCAAATAACCTTGGGTCAAGGTCATAACATAGCCTTGGGTCATGGGCAATCTTTCAGTGAAATGAGAACCTACCAAGTTTATCCATAAGAAAGATATGGACCGGACTTGAATTATGAAATTTTTCTTCCAATGACCTTGAACTTCTCCAAATGACCTTGGGTCAAGGTCATGACACACCCTTGGGTCATGGGCAATCTTTGTGTAAAATGAGAACCTACCAAGTTTATCCCTAAGAAAGATATGGACCGAACACGAATTATGATATTTTTCTTCCAGTGACCTTAAACTTCCCCAAATGACCTTGGGTCAAGGTCATGACACATCCTTGGGTCATGGGCAATCTTTGTGTGAAATGAGAACCTACCAAGTTTATCCATAAAAGATATGTATCAAACATGATTTATGAAAATTTTCTTCCAGTGACCTTGAACTTCTCCAAATGACCTTGGGTCAAGGTCATGACACACCCTTGGGTCATGGGCAATCTTTGTGTGAAATGAGAACCTACCAAGTTTATCCCTAAGAAAGATATGGACCGAACACGAATTATGAAATTTTTCTTCCAGTGACCTTGAACTTCCCCAAATGACCTTGGGTCAAGGTCATGACACACTCTTAGGTCATGAGCAATCTTACTGTGGAGTAGTAGATTCTAATGTCCCTCTGTAAGAAAGATATGAACCGGACACGATTGCACAGACAGACGGACGGACAGACGGACAGACTGACAAGGTGATTCCTATATACCCCCCCAAACTTCGTTTGTGGGGGGTATAACAAACAAATTGTGGAACAATTTTTCGCTTGAAAAAAAATGAAATATTTGTTTTCAAGGCAAAAAAAAAGCAAATCAATTTACAATGCAAAAAAGAGAATTTTTCTTAATTAGTCCACCCTTGTCACCATGACAACATACCATTATGAGAGGGGTAGACATGTTGGCAGGCAATGTTTGCGACTTTGGAATTTGTGCAGATGCATGTATGGTAGGCATATAGGGCTGAAAGTTAATTTTGTTTCCAATGATCAAGGATTGGGCTTTTACCGAGCGTGCCATTCGGGGGGACCGGCTAGGGGAGCGTGTAGGAGGGGGCCCAACAGGGGGCGGGCTACTGGGTTCGTCAATCTGTAAAAAAGGCATACATAAAACAAAATTTGTGATTAGTCATTGAGTCAATTAAAATGTTATAAACACACAGCTAGAATCTATAAGCATGCATAAATATTAAAAAAAAACATTTAATTTTTACAAAAATAGATAGATGCGAATAAACCTTTTTCCTATAGTAGCTATCAAGCATCTTAGCTTCCATCAACAAAGACAGAGGCTTTAAGGCTGCTTTTTTTAACTGCACCATTTTTAATCATTTAACAAAATAAGCATGTGGATTGAATTATATTGGGAGCTATAAAAATTAATTTGATCTGAACTCTTTTAAATATTCTAATAATAAGTTTCTATTTTTGTAACATGGAAAAATTGAAATTTCAAGTTCCATAGCTGAAGTGATGCTTATACTGCATGGTCTCTCAATTCTTGACAACTAATATATGGATAAGAGGAATTTTGGGGTATATATTGATACTGAGATTCAATGTTACAATATAACAAGTCATCTGAGATATGTAAATTATCTTAATTGTAGTTTTTCTACAGAGAAGAACTATAGAAGCACACACTCGAGAAAAGGACAAGGAGATAGATTGTATTGGAATCTACTAAGCTCGAGCAAGCTACAAGATACATGTATATATTTACACACTCAAATATTGAAAAAAAAAATGAATCCTTGGGACTATTGCTAAATTTTACAATTTATCAAGGATTTCATGCTATTAATTATTAATTTATTATCCCCTCACAATGAAGCTGGAAGGGATATAACTATGTGACTTCATGTATGTGTGTATGTAAGTAGGTGAGGGTGTACATGTGTGTAACATAAGTAAAGTGTGTCAAAATTATATCTGAATCAATGTGCTCTTCTGTCAAAGGGTGCTACATCCTTGTTTTAATTTTTTTGTTGTTGATACTTATATTTTTTTTGTAAATGATATTTATTCTGCATACGATGAGCTTAGTAACACGTACACAACCATATTTATAGTCCATGGAATGTTATTCTAATATGAATAAACTAACAATAAACAGAAGAGTGTATAGCCTTTATAACAATAAAATGCATTGTGAACTTGTAATAGTAAATTAACTTCCTGGTGTAAACAGCACTCAGAAAATGTAACCAAATCTTGAAATAGTCAGAACTGATGATGAATGTGTTTTAACTTATTCATAAATCAAATTCTTGATATTTCCTAATATCTTTTTTTAAATTTCAGATGAAAAAAAAATGGTACAAACTTCAATGTTGAAAATTTAGCCTCAGCCTTACACCCAATGATTTTATTATCATGATAAATTTATCCCAGGTCTCTTCCTCTATGACCTTGACCCTAAGAGCAGGTTCTCTGCTACATCTGTAGAGACCAAGTTTTGCAAACCATACAAAATGTGTGCCATTTCTATTGTATGACCATTATGGAATCCAGATAGGGTCATGCAGTTCACTATTGCACCATCGAGCATCAACTTAAAGGTTGATAGCAAGATAATGTGATAGTGCGATAACGATGAAGCTAATATATGGTGTGATAGAGCGATGACGATGATGCGATAGCATGATAATGCCACAAGGATGGTGTGATAGCACCATAGAGCGATAGTGAATATCGCTTTATCATCATCGCACTATCGCACCATCTTCATTACACTATTGTGTCATTGCTTTCGGACCATAGCGTCATCACGCTATCGCTTCATCTCACAATCACATCATCGCATTGTCACGCCATTGCATCATTGTGCTATCACACCATCGAATCATCGCTAACGCACCATCTCTTCATCGTCATCGCATTATTGCATCATCACACTATCGACCCAAACCTTGAGAGTGCTATGATGTGATAGTGAACTGCATAGCTCTATCCTGATTCCATAGACCATGACATTTAAATTTGTTTTTGAGGTTTTTGGTTGGTAAATGTGAGGTCATGAATATTCTTTGCAAATCTAAAGAAGGTTGTTTGAGTCTTTGGGACACATAAGAAGCAAGTCTTAACATACAGATGCTAAAGCAAAGAGCAAATATATCTTTCCAAGTTTGGTTATTTCTGGTTCGGGTAATGAGAACTTTCATCATATCTATACAGTTTCTTTATCATTATTTAAAAGGAATATTTTAACCTTTTCTTTAACAAACATGAATTCAAATAAATCACTCAAAGATATTTTGGGGTAAAACGATCAGTTGAAATTGGTGCTTTAATATTTGAGAAAAGGTAAGAAATATGAAGAACTGGATGCTCATAACAGAGTATATGCTTGACAGACAATATAGAAAAGTAACAAAACATTGCCTGAGTGATACATTTAAGTGAGCTAAACCCTACCCTATCATATGTAAATGCAAGTAATGAAAAAGATCCATCTATTGAAAGATATCAAAATGTGTGCCTTATTGATTCAGGGGAGCTAAACCCTAATGCAGAGACCCCTAATACCAAAGGATTTCTACTGGTCATTACAATTACGAAGGAATACATGCAGTATTATAAATAGACCATGCACACACCTTCGGGAGTTCCCAGGCCGATTCGTCGCTGTCGATTTTGAAGTAATACCGTTGACCATCTTCGTTGACCTTTGATGCCCACTAATGACACATGCAGAAAGTAGAGAAAATGTGAATATGTACAGAGAAATTAAGGGGGGTGCAACAAAAAATAAATCACTATACACTACATCTATCTACACTGATATGTAGCTGAAAAATAAAAGTTTTGAATTTGTCATATAATTTTCTTCAACATGTCTTTACATCATGTACACTGATCTATATATTTTTTTTTATTCTAAATAAGAAACATTAAACTTAATTCTTTCCATTTTATTGTGTTACTTAATTTGACTCAATCTTCTGAATTTTTCACTGAAAAACTGATCTTTTGTAAGCTTCCCTCTTCTACATTTATAATTAAAGAAATTTATATTCTCCCCATAGAAACCAAAAGTCTCTGATAAGACTGTAGCTCTACTGGTTTGTTCTAGAAAAGTGGGAAAGAAAATTTACACCTGGACTTTTGAATTGTAACACTAACATACTTATTTAAAAAAGTAACCTGATCTTTTTTGAAGAGATTTCTTTACATTTTTTTTATTGAGATTTCCTTACATCAAACCAAAACTATAGATGCAATAGCATTTTTGATTAATTTCATAAAAAAGTCTATTTCAATAACCAAAATGAAAAATTCATTAACAGAAATACTATTTGTAATCTAGTTATGATCATATTTTAGCACCTTTAGTGTTTTTATTCCAATTTAAGAACTTATTAACAGGTGCCTAGAAAAAAATATATACAAAGGCTTCACATTTCAATATTTGTATGGAAAAGTAGTGTTTTAAGAAAAGATTGCAGACAAACAGACAATCTAGTTAAAATAAGATATTAAATCCACTTGCATACTCCTAAACTAGTATCTGTTGGTGTAGAAAGATGTGAGTGGATTTAACATTAATTTTTATTAGATTGACAAACAGACAGATGATAAACACTTTACCATTACATATTAAGCTCTTCTGGTCTTTCTACAGTTTAGAGCTAATAAAATTGATGCCATATTTCAATAATTCTAATGATTGATGCATGAAAAAGCATTTATAACAGCACTGCAAATGGGCATATTGATTGATTTAAGCAGATTTTGAAATAGCCAAGACACTCCAAGTAGTGCATAGAAAAAAGCAATACAAAACAAAATTGATACATAAAAGGAAGATATATATAATTTTTACAGCCCAAAAATAATTTATCAGGGAAATTGGAGGGTTTCAATGATATGGAACATCAACTTTTGCTAATTGTGAGTGACTAAAATAGAATCATCTATCTTTCTCATTTTTTACAAGCATTCTATACATGTACTTCAACGAGGACGTAAATGTATATATTTTGATTAATAAGTGGGTTTTTTTGCTATTAATTGCATTATTTAGCAATCAAGACAATGAATGTTTATTTTGTATAAATTATGAAAATGTATTTTATTTCAAAATATATATTACTATGTGTCTTGGATCCCTCTGAAAACATATGGTAAATCTTATTTCAAGTACATCGTGTATTAAAATTAGACCAATTAACTATTTACACAAAACAACAAACTATTAGATCTATAGTTAGAGAAACTACACTCTAATAATCACTATTAGCTATCACTAGAACAAACGACTAATAATAGAACTGTGAACAACCTTCTCATTGGTGGCGGAGTTAACGAATATTTTCCCTGCTGCGCTGTCTTCGACTCTCCATCCGCTAGGAAGGACATCGTTGTTTACGGTGATTTCAGGTAAACTGACCTTCCGACTGTTTAAGGCTTCAACCTAAAATTACAAAGTTTGGATTTACTAATGTTACAACTTATGAACGAGATACATGTTTAAAATATAAAGTTTGTACTTGTTCACAAGAATCATATGAAATAATCCATCAAAATCTAAATAAACAAGTTTTGATAATTTTTTTAATTAACATACTAGAACAAAACTGAATAATACAAGAGATGATTGTAAAACACTTATGACCCCGGGCCCTCCCCCAAATCGGAATTTTTCCAAATCCATGGGGCATAACTCTATCAAAAATGATGCGATCATATCCAAAACAGTGACTTTGCAAACTCTGCAAAGAAAATGGATGGAAACTGCAAATAAGTGAAATATTTCTAAGTTGAAGGGTCATAACTCTATCAAAAATGGTGCGATCATACTCAAAACAGAACTTGACCTAGATATTCAGCTGATTGATCTGTATACTAAATTTCATTTCAATATGTGCAACCTGATCTGCAAAGAAAATGGACGGAAACTGTAAATAAGTGAAAATTTTCTATGTCGAAGGGGCATAACTCTTACAAAAATAGTCCAATCTTACCCAAAATCATACATGTTAACTCTCCCTTTAACTATCACTAAGCATGGTTTTAAGTACTTGAAAAGAAGCTTTTTAAAGATTGTTCCTTATATATTTATGTAAAACTTTGGGTATCCATTTTTGAAGCCACTCTCATAAAATCTCGCTAGATATCGCGTGATTTGCCTCAAAATCATACAAACGCTTTTTTGTACATAGATTTCAAGCACGGATTTGACAACGACAACAACATAAGACTACCGTGATTACACTGGTTACGATAAATTAATCAACATCCCTGCCATGAAAAAGGAGATACAGCTTTTGAGAATTAGATGAAAACATTTGACATCGTCTTTAAAAGCACAGAAGCTCACAACTTTATCAATAAAGTCAACAGAAATCACTCGATTAACCAAGCCATATGGCACATCTCTACTTTCGTTTTCGATCATCGCGGGAAATCTGATTTACATAACGAAAGATACGAACTTGTTTTAGATCTCGATTAAACCATGCCATCATTTGTTTTGTTTAAAAGTGAATGAACATTCAGAATTATTGCTTCTAGGTTATTTCAGCAAAGATCAATCTTCAAAGGGCTAAGTAAAGCAGCCAATCCAAGCAAAATGATGAGCATGAAAAATATTTGAAGTTGTACAATTTATGTCAAACTTAAGGTGTTTCTGTCTTCTTATTGCTGTTGATTGAAAAATATTTGAAGTTGTACAATTTATGTTAAACTTAAGGTGTTTCTGTCTTCTTATTTCTGTTGATATTTAAGATTAATTAGTGTAGGTACCTGATTTCATTTAAAGCTTTTAATATACAAGTATATTACAACAAGATAACGATAATCAAAGTGTTAAACAACGTGCGCGCAATGCTACCGCTTTTGAGGTCTGAATCTCCCTCTTTTTCATCGCAATAGGTTAACATGTATGCCAAAATATAACTTGACCTAGATATTAAGCTGGTAAATCTGTATAGCAAATTTCATTTCAGTGTGTACAATCTCTGCAAAGAAAATAAATGGAAACTGCAAATTGATTTTTCTACATATATATATATATTTATCACAAAAGAAATGGTGAAAGACTAGTCCCAAAACAAAAATAATTGGACCTGATTAATCTGTATCCAAATTTCATTTCAGTACCTGACCACTGGTTCCAAAGGAATTGGTCTATTGGAAACTAATATTTTTCGACAGACAGCAGCAATATAGCATAGCGGGATATTTTCTTGGGGCATAAAAACAACTGAAAATTCATAATTTTGCCACTTTGGTGGTAACTTGCTAAAATTTTAATTTTTAATATAGTAAGTTCTTTTCTAAGTGTTTATCTGCAAAGAGCCGAAACTCTGTGTCCGCTGAAATAAATTACGTCAAAATTAATGGCATACCTTTGAGCAGGTAAAGAGCCAAATTTTACACCAGCCAAGAAAACATGCTATACGGTATTCTAGACAAAATATTTGGACAATATACATGTACTCCAAAGGAACTTTAAGTTAACATCATATTAGATAAGATTTCAGAATAAACAACATGTAGAGTAGATAACTTTCACTGTATATAATTTATATATATACTAAAATTTATGAAATTCATAGTCAAAATATATAATATAATTGTATAAGCTTTTCATTTTCAGTTTACATGTAGTACATGTGCTACAATAAGCACAGTAAATTACTGAACAATATTTAAGAAATAAATAACAAGTTTATAAACTTCAATGGGAATTAAAAAGTGATTTAAACGTATCAAATCCTGTGAATGAAGGCCTTCTCAGAAGATTTTGATCATGTACCAAAATATATAATATTAATTTATAAACTTGTTATTTATTACTTATATATACATTTGAGACAGACGATTGAATACTTTCGAATTTAAATTATTGCACTAACCGTCCGTCGTAGATTTTGAAAAATGACTCAAGGTGTAAATCGGCTTGCATGGCGGTTACGCTTCGAATTCATTAGGCTAAGGAATCTATTTCGAAGGGAATATTTTGTGAAAGGCTACTTGTGATCAGTAATAGTGAACAGATTGTTGTCTGGGAATATTTTATTCGTGAAAAATGATAATCGATCCTGAAAAGACACAAGAAACACGTCCGAAGTTTGATGATAAAAAGTTGGAGGAATTTCGGTCGCCAGGAAGGGATGGATGGATCCGATGGATTGAGACACTTGTCCGAGCCAATTAATTTGCAGTTTGATCAAAAACATTCCACGGTTTCAGTAACTAAAGGCATACTTATAGTAAAACACTGATAAACACGGAGACACTGGTGACAGCTTTACATTGAACTACGAAAACGCCGAGGTGTTTGGCAGCTGTTCATGGCATGATTGCAAAGATATTTTCCAACAGATTTACACATTTATCGTGAGTAAAATTTAAAGATAAAATAAAAGTTTATCATGAAAATTTAACCAAAGGTCTTTCCAAAAAATAAGGATGAACGTTAGAGACTGTGCAGCTGATAAAAGTGAAGAAAAATGTAAACAAACGCTAGGCTCCTAGTTTTCTCTATGTACACGGGTTGAATCGATAGCCCCAAAACTGTATGAAATACTTGTTTACATTTAAAATAAAATAATTATCATTATACTTGCTTTTTTTATTCATTTTTGTACATGAAAAGCAAGTAGAGCAGGTCATTTTATAATTTATGTACCGGTAGATATTATTGCGCCGTGTGATTAGGTCACGTATTGACCTCTGACCTCTGACAAACTTCATACAGAATTGAAGATATTTTCTCTCTGTATGTTTATATAATGGAGAGATACCACAAATGTATATATTTAAGAAATAAATAACAAGTTTATAAACTTCAATGGGAATTGAAGTGGGTCGGTCACGTGATCAAATCCTGTGAAGGCCGAAGGCCTTCTCAGAAGATTTGATCACATTTGTGGTGAGTATTTGTTTAGAAAATCCCCATTGAAGTTTATAAACTTGTTATTTATTACTTATATATACATTTGAGACAGAAAATTGAATACTTTCGATTTTAAATTATTGCACTAACCGTCCGTCGTAGATTTTGAAAAATGACGCAAGGCGTAAATCGGCTTGTATGGCGGTTACGCTTCGAATTTATTAGGCTAAGGAATCTATTTCGAAGGGAATATTCTGTGAAAGGCTACTTGTGATCAGTAATAGTGAACAGTTTGTTGTATGGGAATATTTTTATTCGTGAAAATTGATAATCGATGCTGAAAAGACACAAGAAACACGTCCGAAATTTGTTGATAAAAAGTTGGAGGAACTTCGGTCGCCGGAAAGGGATGGGTGGATCCGATGGACTGAGACACTTGTCCGTCCAAGTTAATTTGTAATTTGATCAAAAACATTCTACGATTTCAGTAACTAAAGGCATACATGTACTTACCGTAAAACACTGATAAACACGGAGACACTGGCGACAGCTTTACATTGAACTACGAAAACGCTGTGAGGTGTTTGGCAGCTGTTCATGGCATGGTTGCAACGATATTTTCCAACAGATTTACACATTTATCGTGAGTAGAATTTAAAGATGAAATAATAGTTTATCATGAAAATTTAAACAAAGGTTTACCCAAAAAATAAGAATGAACGTTAGAGACTGTGCAGCTGACAAAAGTTAAGAAAATTGTAAACAAACGCTAGCCTAGTTTGTCTATGTACACAGGTTTAATGATAAATCGATTGCCAAAAAACTGTGTGAAATACTTGTTTACATTGTAAATGAAATGATTATCATTTTACTTGCTTATTTTGTTCATTTTTATACATGAAAAGCAAGCAGAGCTGGTCATTTTATAATTTATGTACCGGTAGATATTATTGCGCCGTGTGATTAGGTCACGTATTGACCTCTGACCTCTGACAAACTTCATACAGAATTGAAGATATTTTCTCTCTGTATGTTTATATAATGGAGAGATACCACAAATGTATATATTTAAATTACAAATACTACAATAAAACAATACATGTATACATTAACTATTAAATCTTAAACATGTTAAAATGAAATACATATACATGTACATGAAATATATGGTAACAAAACATTGTGAAATCAATAATACTTCATGGTTTGTTTTAGTTTTTATTCATATATTATTTATCTTGTCAATTTTCAATGCTGTTATACAGACAAACCTCTATATCTTAATTTAACTCAATGTGGATGATGCTTAAAGTTTGATAGAACCCAGTACTATAAACTTGGTGAACTTGGTAACACTGAAGGGTTGATAGCTTTACAATTTGGACATTTTGAAGTATGGTGAGTGAAAACTGCATGCTTCTATTTACAGTCTCCTAAACCAATAAATAAGAATCAATTACGTTGACAAGTGGAAATTTTGATATTTTATTTATTCAACTATTGTCAACTGCCAAGCACAGTGGTTAGAGCGTCTGCTCTAGAGTCACGAAGTAATAGTTGATATTTACTTTGTGGGTTCGAATCCCACTGTGGGAGGTGGATACCAGACCATGAGATGAGACCAAGGTCCCATGTCGCAGTAGGTGCTGACACGAAAAAGATCCCTTACTGCTCAATGGCCATAAGTATAGAACAAAACTTTGCAGCTCTTCATTGGCAAGTGGTGGTGTCTCCATATGAGTGAAAAATTCTCTAGAGGGACGTTAAACAATATACAATCAATCATTCAACAATTTCTCAATCAACATTTCCAAGTCATCAAATTTTCCAAGTAAACAGTAATTTGGATTTATAATAAGTATACAAACACGAAGAAAATGTGGATAGGACTGCCAAAATCACTTAAATGACATGTCCCTGATATATCATAGTTCAAAATAACAGAATTTTACAGTATATTTTCAAAATGCTTAAATTATAACTTTGACGTCTTCAGAAAAAAACATTTACCTAGAAATAAAATTGATTTCACATACAATACAATGTAATAAGTAACAAATTCAGCCTCTTACCGTTCTGTGTACATAATGCTCTTGGACAAAGTTAAATGGATTCAGATATTCTGACTTTTCCTACATTAAGACAGTAAAGATGAAATTGTTGCTAAATAGGCAAAAACACTGTGTGATATAACATGTACGAACTTTCCTTCAATTTGTAATTTTGGTATATTAAAGAAACCAAGGTCGCTAGATGGACCTCCAATATGGGGGCCAACGGGAAACTCTTGCTAAATTCAGACCTAATTGAAAACTATCTATACTTGCTCAATGTTTTGCCTGTAATTTTTGAAGGGTGAAAAGAAACTGGCCAATTTAGCTCACCTCTTCATTATTGCCTGTAAATTATCTAAGGTGTCCAGCTTACAGGGTTATTTAGCTCACCTGTTTTTGCCGATCTGCAGGACGTGGAGGTTTATATGTCCTTTCATGTGTTTCTCTGTTGACATAGTAGATTCGCTTTGTGACCGGGTCCAAAAAACTATCCCATACCCCTAAAAGTGTCTTTAAGTAATTCCCCTCTGTTGTTGGGGGTGGGGAGTCTGGGGTCTTGAGTGTGTCCCCAGGGTGAATCTCTGTAATGTTGGCATAAAGGTCTTCTGAGAATCTCTCCTGAAATTAAATATACAAGAGCATTTTATTTTATACACATTTGAGGTGTATGCAAGTTTAAAATATAAGAATTTTACTAAGACATTTCATTGTTGCTAAATCTTGTCTTTCTGGTTAAGAATGGTCTTAACAGCAAGTCTGTCATTGTAAAGGCACATAAATTATGATTATCTAAATATTTACTACTTGCTGACATAAATGTATGCAAAGTTGCAAACTGTTAATTATCTTATATTGTTACTTTAGACATTATACTATTGCTCATATTGTGTATTTTCATTTTATAACACATGTACAATTGTGAAAAAAGACAAATTATTTGGAAAAAATAGTATGTCTGCAGTATTACTGGAGTTGGGGAAAATGCCTATACCAAATGTATACTATACAGGCTTGTGGGATTTCAAACTGAAGTACTGCTAATTAATATAAGTTGTTTGTATAAATTAATGGTTGGTTAACAGTACATTCATATCCTAATCAATATATTGAATTGTTTATCAGTTACTGACTTTCCTGTTCCAGTTCCTGGCCTTTTACAATCCGATATAAATATATATACAATTTCAAACGGATCTTTTAGAACCATGTGACATTCATGTGACAGTAGCCATGGTAACTATAACAAACATTCTGAGAGTATTGCATAAGCAATACATGTCCCCTACCGGTTTCCCCTTTTTCTTTAGGATGTCATTATACCCGCACTTTCTAAAGAAAGTTCGGGTATATTGTTGTTACTCATGTCCGTCCGTCCATCCGTCTGTCACATTTTTCTTCCCTGAACTCCTCCTACACTTTACACAGTAGCTTAATCATCTTTTGGGAGATGGTTGGTGGGGTCATGTAGATGTGCAGTAAGGTTTTGGAATTTTGATTTTGCCCCGGGGTGTCAAATGGGGGTCGAAAAACGACGTTTTTTATGCAAAAAGCCCCATCTTCCCTGAACTCCTTCTACATTTTACTCAGCAGCCTAACCAGCTTTTGGGAGATGGTTGGTGGGGTCATGTAGATGTGCAGTAAGCTTTCGGAATTTTGATTTTGCCCCAGGGGGTCAAATGGGAGTCGAAAAATGACGTTTTTTAAGCAAAAAGCTCCGTCTTCCCTGAACTCCTCTTACATTTTATTCAGCAGCCTCATCATCTTTTGGAAGATGGTTGGTGGGGTCATGTAGATGTGCAGTAAGGTTTCTGAATTTTGATTTTGCCCCAGGGGATCAAATGGGGGTCGAAAAATTACGTTTTTTATGCTAAAAGCCCCATCTTCCCTGAACTCCTCTTACATTTTACTCAGGAGCCTAATCATCTTTTGGGAGATGGTTGGTGGTGTCATGTAGATGTGCAGTAAGGTTTTGGAATTTTGATTTTGCCCTGGGGGGTCAAATGGGTGTCGAAAAATGACTTTTTTAATGCAAAAAGACCCTTCTTCCCTGAACTCCTCTTACATTTTACTCAGCAGCCTAATCATCTTTTGGGAGAGTTCACTCTTTTGAAATTTTGTTAAAACATCAAGGTCAAGGGGTAAAAAATCATAGCATGTTGGGAAACAACTTGTTATGGGTAATGTTCACTTGAAATGTGAAAGTCGAATCTCTTCTCAGTGAAAAGGAAATACAACATTAATGAAAACTAAGTTAAACTTCAAGGTCAAGGTTACAGAGTCAAAAAGTCATGATACATTTGGAAAGGTCTTATCACAGGTAATATGAATGCCCTTTCATTTATCTTTCAAAATGATTAATTCAAAGCAATTAATTTGTTTATGAAATTAGGTCAAACTTCAAGGTCATGGGTAATAAAAATCATAGTGTATTTAGAATGGTATTGTCCCATTTAATACTAATACACATGTTTAATATAAAAGTCCTGTCTCTTCTCATTCAAAATATACGACCATGATGACCAATTGCAAGGTTAAATTTATTGTGACAGATGGGCAGATTGACAAACAAATGAGATTTAATGTACCCTACCTTAGTGAAAATGGGGGACAATAAATGTCTTTGCTGTTCTTGAGAAGAAGATTTATGTTGGAAAAAGTCCCCTGCATATTTAAATGTAAATTGGTTGAAAATGGCCCAGTGGTTCTTAAGAAGTTAATGTGAAAAGTTTGCAGACAAACAGATGGACAACAGAAATCAGTACATTTCAGAAAACAGTATGCTTATAAATAGTTAATCAAGGTGCTTTGGGTAGCAAAATTAAGCTAAACTGGTATATCTAAACTGGTATATCTAATTCATCCGCAGAGCTTAGTATATTTTAATATGCACAACCTTTTCAACTCTTATCATAATTATTTTTTAAAATTTATATCACCATGTCTCATTCAAGGGAGAACTAGAGATATGACCAGATGTATATCTGTTGAATATAAAATATGTACATGTATACTGTGTTTTTTTAGTAATTTGTTTGTTTGTTGTGACAGCAACTGTTATGGCAGCTTTTGGCAAAGGTTGAAGTTTCTCAAATGTAAGTCAAACTCCAAGGTCAAGGTCAAAGGGTCAAAATTGTTGGTATCAAAGGGAAAGTCTTGTCACAAGGAATACACATGTGAAAAAAGAGAGAAATCCCTAGAACTTCCTCACCTGTTCAAAAGTTATTGCCAAGGTTAAAGTTAAATTGGGTTCAACTCTAAGGTCTAGGTCAAAAATAATTATACCTGTTGAAAGTTCACAATGATTACACATGTTAGAGCATGAAAGTCCTAGCACCACCAGTTCAAAACTTAGGCCAAGTTTAAGGTATTTTTCTTGTAAAAGTGGGTCAAACTCCAAGGTCAAGAGATCAAGAGGTCAAAATTGGTGGTACCCATTAAAAGGTTTTGCCAAAAGAAATTTACCTATGAAATATTGAAGCCATGTGTATAGCCCAATCCACTTAAAACTTATGGGCAAGGTTAAAGTTTCTGTGGACAGACAAACATACATAAACATAGGAAACAAAATATGTATATATAGTCAAATGAAAAAATTTTCTACTATTATGGAGTCATAAGATCAATTGTCATTTCAGGTACAGGGAGTCAGTGGCTAGGGAGATCACACCCCCCCCCCCCCTGGAATTAGCAGTTATTTAAATAAGACTATGTACTGTAGAGAATAAAAATGACTTTGGACATCCTCCCCCTTAGAAAACAGGGACTCCACCATCATTGTTTTTATTATTATATTTTATTTGCTTCTCAGGAAATCTTGGGCTGATTTTTTTGACTGAGGTGTGACACCCCCCCCCCCCCCCCTCTCTTTCTGAAAAAAAAAATTCTAGATCTGCGCCTGTATATACTGAATGTCCGCAACGGGAGATAACTTGACAATGTGAAATTTGTCGACTGTGGCATGCGATGATCTTTGACCCTTTTTGAACTTCAACCTAACCATTTGCATTTATTTATTTTTATGCAATCTATACTAAATCTTGTACTTACCGAATGTCATAGGTCGTGACAACGAATTCATGAAATATAATCCATATAATCCAATTAAAACACAAATGATTTTAACTGACCACACTGTATCGTCAGCATACATGTGCTAAATAATCTCATTCGACAAACCTTTGCTGATTCCGTTGCCAGTATGAATCGGCCGAGGTGTGACGAGAGGTGATATCTATAAATATGATAATGGGTGACGCAAACCCAATGTGAATGTAGAAAATAAGATGTTCACACGTAAAACTGTTTAGTACAAGAACAAATTTCAAACTATCATAATAAACTATGTTTTAACATAACTTTGCCATCTAGGTCTATTTTTAAAAAATGTGAGAGTGAGAGAGTGTGTGTGTGGGGGGGGGGGGGGGGGGGGGGAGAGAGAGAGATAGGCATTGACAAATTAATCCGGTTGTATTTTCAATGGGTTTTTTTCCCGACCAAGTACTAAAATCAGTTTGCACATTTTGATAAATTCATCAAAAATGCTTTGTACTAAAATAATATGTCGTTGAGAAAGTAAATTTAAAAAGTTCCAAATTATGGGCAAAATATTTATCTGGATCTAATTAAGTAATTTACTTCAATCATTAATTAAATTCTGTTATTTCAGACTGGTAATGAATTAAGTATTCAAAATACATATGTGAGGCTCATAGACCATATGGTCACCTGAAAATTTTATGTTCAATTTGACGAATACATGTACGATGATAATTATAGAATTATTTTGACTTCTTCCTTGGAAAGTCCAATATGAAGGAGTGTGTATTTAGAGGCAAACACCATAATGCGGGTATTACTGTCTCATGACAGCATCTGGTTTTATAATATGCAAAAGTTATGTCCATGCAAGGTAAAACTGCTTGATTTTGAGGTTGTGAAATGCCTTTAACCTAATAAAATAATCCACACTTCAAATCTTTTTTTCAATGGTTTTACCGTAAACAACGTCTTTTTCTCGCTTCATATATATGTTGACGATTGGAATTTAGCGCAGCACGAACCCGATCTTAAACGATTATGAAATATTAAAAATGCCATAATTTTGTCAAAAATTAATGAAGCACAACGACATTCAAACTTGATCTGTAATTCATCAATATACATTCACATACCAAAATTCAGTTCAATATCTGCAAGCGTTTACATGTACAAAAAAGTGCGGAAAACCAAGTAGGACAGACCGAGACAGATGGACGGAGAGATGCAGAGGAAACCTATAGTCTCCTCTGGATTCACCTGTAGGGGACTTAAATAACTGATTTCCCTTAATTCTTATCTATTGTTAACAACAAAATCTGTCATTTAGCTTAAATAAACAAAATTTCATTGTACCAAATCAAAACTAAATTGCCAGACCTTAACAGTTACACTTTAGTATAAATTTATAAGTTACTACCATACACACATGCAGTCATATAATTAACAAAGACCATAAGCAGAAATTTTCTCCCACACATACAAACAAATGCCATATAAGGGTAAAGGCTGGCATCTGCCTTTTAACTTTTGATGATCTGAAGTATTTGAGAGTACTGCTCTTAAATAGGTATGGTGGATCT